AAAGCAAATTATTTGTAGAATCATAGAATCCCAGCCTGATTTGTGTTGGGAGGGACGTTAAAGCTCCTCCAGCCCCAACCCCCTGCCGCAGGGCAGGGACACCTTCCACTAGAGCAGGTTGCTCCAAGCCCCTGTGTCCAACCTGGCCTTGAACACTGCCAGGGATGGGGCAGCCACAGCTTCTCTGGGCACCCTGTGCCAGCGCCTCAGCACCCTCACAGGGAAGAGCTTCTGCCTCAGAGCTCATCTCAATCTCCCCTCTGGCAGGTTAAAGCCATTCCCCTTGTCCTGTCCCTACAGGCCCTTGTCCAAAGTCCCTCTCCAGCTTTCTTCTTGGCTCCTTTAGTTACCAGAAGACTGCTTTAATGTCTGCCCTGAGATGATGACGATGATGATAATATTTATTTATAAAGAAGTCCCAACAACTGGTAGGTTTCTCCTAAGAGAAGAAACCACCCAGAGAACTCCATTCCCTCTGTTATTTCTGGGATGAATACTTTTAAACCAGCATGATGAGGGAGTATTGACCATCTTCAGGACTCACCCCCAACGTCTAGTAGAGCATTCAGTATCTAACTGAGGTGGTTTAAGTCAGGTTTAAAATCGCATGGGCTGGGCAGTGACACGTGCTGTTCTACGGTGTGATTTGTGCCAGTGTTTGCTGATAGCTCTGGAGATGGGGAGATTGTCTAGTTTTGTGTCACCGAGGGCTTGTTTTTCTGTTCCTTCTTCCTATTTATAGCTGTAAGACAAGTATTTTTTTCCTAAAGTAACTGGAAGTTATCCCACAAGATAATCTGAATGTACCTTATGCTAATTCCTCTTCAAACTTCCTGGAAAACAAGAACCTTTGCCAAAAATGTGAAGCATTTTAAATATGTTTCTGTTCTGTGTTGGAACAACCTCAAGACACGTTAAAAAGCTTCATGAAAAAGCATCTGAAACAGGCAAAAAAAGGCAGTTGGTGCCCTGCACCCTCCATCAGCCCCAGGTTAATGTGGGCTCCGTCTCTGCCGGCTGCCTTCCTGGGTGTCAGGGCAGGAGATTTGTGGCATTCCAATCACATATTGGATTTCACTTGAGACAGAATGTGAAATGAGATGTACAAGCAATATGCAATGTTTTACACGTTTGGAAGCGCGGGGTCTGCGAGCCGCGGCAGATTGCATGACCAGGGAATGCATTAGGAGGGAGAAATGGGATAAATAAATATGAAAAACCTTCTGTTTGCAGAGAGCGATGCTTTGGGTAATCAGTAGTGATGGAAAGGAAACGCAATACAAGAAAACCCATGTATCCATTTGCTGGGATCTGCTTTTCCTTCTGAAACTGACTGTGCAGTAGCAACATTCTCTTCTTATTATTTTTCAGTTAACTAAGCTGTTACCAATTTAAAATGCAGTGTGGGGCATGGTTTTAATCTGGGAAAGTTTAAGCGCATTCTGAGGTCACTTAATCAGCCCTTTGTTTGAAGGGTAACTGCAAGACATGAAAGCAGCTCGTGAAGGACAGGGAACTTTTGAGTCCAAAAAGGGAGAGAAAACATGAGACAAATCGCTGAAGAAGTCGGTTTATCATCTGCCACCAGTCGACCTTATCAATTATAAGACATGATAAGCATAGCTCGCTGAATCCTATTCTTTACCTGAACACGGAACATTATCTTATAATGAATTTCATAAAATAGAGGTGATGAACACTGTGTCCTTATCAGGCCACTTTGATGCAAGGCTCATCAGTTTGTGGGGTTAGAATAGTTTCTGCCTCTGTTTTCGTCACTTCTGCTTCTTCCTCTTCACAAGAAAATTCACGTTCAGTGGTAAATGAGAAAAGATGTATTTCGAGGTTACTTATTTGCCTTTCTCCTGATTGCCTATCCTTTGTCTGGGATGATACATAAAAATGCCTTTCAGTTCACTCTTGGGCATCACTGGGGTAGGAGTAGGGCAGCCCCAGCTCCAGGGGTTGTGCAGGACTCACTGAGATGCCTGGACAGCCCTCGGATACTCTGCTTTAAAGGTGGGATAGTTTTAGGGAGAGGAGAATGAGGTTACGTCAGTTTTATAGATGTTTCTGGTTCCCTCTGACTGTTTTCAGGCTCGCGGTGAGATGGAAACCTTGCTTTGCAAGCAGAAGCCATCTGAAAAAAGTCAGAGCACATGAAATGCTTCCTCTGCCTTTTCCCAGCGTAAATTCTTCCCATTCCCTCTGCCCACCCCTGCGAGTTCTCCCAGCAGGCATATGCATGCGTGTTTGGGGGGTGGAGGGATGAAGCTTGGAACCTGAGCCTCTAAAAACATTTGTGCAAATAGCTCCCATTTGGCTGATACACACTTTTGAGAGGCAAGAAGCCCTTATTGACCCGCAGTTCCTTCTCAGCTTGATCAAGCTGTGCACAGCGTGAGGGTGTTAGACCCCATCGAGGACCGCTTCCCAGCAAACCAAACCAGCACGCTGGCAGTGTTAACTTCCAGTTACTACAGTGATGCACCCGAGCAGCTCCTAGGAGCTCCCCCAGGCAGTGCAGTGTGGAGGGCTGTGGGAAATGGCTGGAATACCAGGGCTTCTGCTGCGTGGCAGGACTCCCGCCTGGGGTGAGTATGACACGGAGAGTTAGAGGCTATTAAAGAGTCAGACTCATCATTTGCTCTAGGGCTTGGGTTTTTACAGCACTTCCAAAGATACCCTTATAAAATACACAGAAAGCACTTGTGGTGAGAATGCATGCATATATATAAAATAGAACTGTGAAATCCTAATGTACTAATTATATCCACAGGGAAACACAAGGAGAAACCATGAGCTGCAATAAACACACACAGTCATTAATTTGTTAGAGAATTCAGCATTCTTTTTGTAGCAATGACACCTTCAGTATTGAACCTAAATTTCATAATCACTTTTTCCTTCCCACATCTAATACTGCTCATTCTTAATAACATTGTAGCCCCATACCATGTGTGCACAAGTTACACAGGGCAGGTAAATTCCTTCTATGCCTGACATTAATGATATGGTATTAACCCAAACCATCTTTGATAACCTTCTTTATGTGCTAGAAGTCAGAAAATAGTTTCTAAAAGTCATAAATGATGCTTTTACCAATATAAACTTCTCTTTACAAGAAAAATGTGTTTGGAGAGGAAGAGAATAATACCATAGTCTTGCATCAGTTTGTTTTTGCAAGGGTCTTTACTTATATTAGTACATTTGTATGCATTGGAAAAAACAGATCATCCATAAAAAGACAATTACAGAGCACAAAGCAAGCATTCGTATTATTTTTCTGAGATATCTTAAAGGATGCAACATACTTAAACCAGACAATTTTATTGTCCTGTTTTTCCACAACTCCGTATAAATCATACCATAAAAGTAGCCATCCTGCTTTTATTGATCTAAACTCCATTTGAGTTGCTTTGGGATTAACTTTTAAACTCTGTTATTCAGTCCCCTCCACTGCAAGCTTTTTCTCTATCTCATGCAAATATCAGTTGACCAGGATGGATGTGTTTTCTATTTGCAGTTACTCATGCATCTTTACTTTCCATCAGGAAAGACGTAGCTGACCAGAAAACAGGCAAATACTTGAAACGGGAATTTTTGAGTAGATATTTGTAATAACGTATTGGGTTGTACAACCAGTTTATCCCATAGTGTAGATGCTAAATCTTCCTGACACCCAAGTGGCAGTAATATCTCGGATGCTTTTGATTATAGATTATGAATTTCGGGATCATCTGTGGATTTACTCTTATTCTTCATAATTGTTCATACATGAATTCTATGTTTCATTCAGTGTTCATACATAATTGTTCATACCTGGTCATCCATTGGGGCAGCATGTGCTTCCAGAAAGCAGGTAGCACCACCAGGGTGGTGATGTCTGTGCCCTCTTAGATTAAGGTCTGTGCTTTGGGGAAGGGTTGTTGTCCTGCCTGTAAACTCTGTATTTCTCAGTGCTCTCTCTCAATCTGCCTTGTAACATGTAACATGTATAAAATCCTGCACATTGGAAATGGGAAAGTAATTGGGTTTTCACGAGCAAAACCCCTCTTCAACGCTCGTCCTATTGTACTGGGTTTGTGCCACCCCAATTCCCGTACTACTGCAAGGAGTTTAGTTCAGCCTGTTTCACACATGGAGCTAATTAAAGGAAAATCGTTCTTTAAGCTCATGAACTGCTTTTTAAATGAATCCTTCTGGGTTCACATGAGAGTACAAACATTCTGGAGCTGCAGAAGTCTGAATGTTAACGGAGTAACGAGAGAAGCCGCTTCATGCACCCATCAGTGCTGTGGTTCTGTTAACTATGATTTCAAACAAATTCCAAAGCAAGGCACTTGTACAACGTATTCAAGTGCCAAAACCACTCTAATAACTTGTATTCTTCCCGTCTATAATCAAAAATTGTAGTAATGCAAGAGCAGATCTAGGAAGATGAAGGGGATAAAGGAAGATACTTGTCAAGCAGTTGCAGATCAAACCAGGTTTGTTTGAGAAAATGCTCTTCATCTTCTTCCTTGTCTCCTGCCTAGGATATTGTCTGAGATAAGTGACAGTTTCAGTTCTTTCTCATCACATCTCAAGGTTACAGTGTGTTTTCTAAGAACCGGCGTAGATAAAGGAAACTTTAACCCACACAGAAGTTAGCATTTTATGCATCTAAGGCTAACGGGTAGGTATTAAATTCCCCCATAAATTAAACAGCTGGAGATTGCCACCTTTTTTATGCGCAAAGAACACCTTGTTAGCAGCCAGCACAGAAGTTCATGTTCTCAGATGAGTTGCTTTGCCCTACTCTTAAATTGCCATTCATTTTCTCCCTGCATGTTGACTTACGAACTTTAAAACTTCCTGTTCAAAACTCAAGCTGTGTTCCCAAGCTATGGTGCTATCAAAAGCACTGAACAGCTTTTGTGTGTAGTGGCTCTTCACATGGTGGTTAAAATGTTTTTACTAAATAATGAGGCATCTTTCCTGTCTTTTGTTCCGTACAGGACTTCGGAGAAGATGATTCCCTCTATATCACCAAGGTAACAACTATTCACATGGGCAATTACACCTGTCATGCCTACGGCTATGAAGAGCTGTATCAGACCCACATCCTTCAGGTGAATGGTTAGTAAATGGCATATATGACAATCCATGAAGCGTTCCCGTAAGCGGAGTTGCATGTTAACCTTGTTCACACAGAGGCGTCAAAAGCCGTGCACCAAATTGTGTGTGCACGAGCGTGAACCCAGCTCGGCCTCTGCTCACTCCTGAAAGCACACTGGCAATCAGAAAGAAAAGTACCAGGGGAGGACGTGTATAATTACCTGGGCTTCAGTCCTGACAGTAAAATAAGCTGTCAATAGAGTCATAGAGTTAAGAGCAGCGTTTCAAAGCATCTGTTAGACTAATTACTACTTTTGTCAGCAGAAGTGTTGCTTCGATAATTTCTTCTTCAAGAAAATCATTTCTCTTGCATGAAGGAGTCCAGGATATTGAAATAAATACAGCACAATGTTTCTGAAATGAGCTGTCTTAACTCCCAGCTCTGTATCAGATTATTACCTGGTTGTAGTCTGCTTGGTTCACTAAAGGGCTATTTACATTGGCTAAAGATATATTCCACAGGGTTGCAAAATGAGGGCAGACCCTTCTACAGGTGAGAGAATCACACAGGCATATTCCATCATTCTGGTCCACATCCATTCCCTGGACTGCATTTGCACCTGGTGGAACTTATATTCAGGCATTCCCTTTCTTCTGGCCTCAAACCCAGACAGTTGGATTTAGTTTAATATTACATTAGCTTCAACCAGCATTTCATCTAGGGACCAGCCAGTGGAGTATCCACCTCCCCAGCAGCAAAATCATGTCCAACTTTAAACTATTTATATGTGCTAATATGACCAGCAGTATCTCCAGAATAGGAGACAGGGTAGCTTGTTGCTCACCATGGATAGATTTTGATGTACTCTGGTTTGGAAGTATTTAGTTTAAAGGAAAATCCAGTAACCAGTATCCAGTTTCCAGAGGGTATAAAGGGAATTTAATATTTAGTTCTTTCTCTAGATGTGCACAGAGAGCTTTCAACTGGTCAGAGCAGATAGCTACACACAGGTTAACAGAGAGAAGCTGGCACGAAAAGAAACAGTATAAAGGGATATTTAATCACTTCAAGAAGTGCTATGGTGGACATTGGGTTTAAGTTTGGCTGCAGCTCAGTTCTTCTGGATGTGTGTAAATGCTCCCCACCGACAGTGAGTAGCTGGAGGAGAGCACGAAGCATCCGGTTGATTTGAATGAAAACTGACTTAATGTTTCTACATAATAATTTGTCATCTTTTGAGACAGTAAAGTGTAAATTCTCAGCAATGTGGATAACTAGATTGTGCATGCCGCAGCTGGGAAAATGGGTTTCCTTCCTCAGAGTGCTCTTTGTTTGATGAATGGCAGTTGAAAGAAAAGCAAGCTAACAAGTTAATCCTGTGTATATTATGTGATATGTTATGAGGTCTGAATGGAGTTTGGTTGGCAGACAACAATATAGACTTTATCATCACTGAGAATATAAGGCCCAAAGGCTTTGAAACTAAAGCCAGAATAAGAGGAAAGCTAGATGGAGTGTGGGGAGGGGTTGCTTTCTTTCATCCTCATGCCTGCCACTTAGATTTAACTTGTTGAAAAATCCCATTTTCTTTTTAAGCAGAAGTTACACACTGCAGCTGCAGGTGGTTCTCTTACTAATAGAACAGAAAAACCCTCCACTATCCGTGCTGGCTTTTTAACGTTGCTATCTAGTCAATAAATACTGCAGCAAAATGCCATGCGTTCTGCTATCAACCCAGGCTTGCTAGAAGACACTGCAGGGTCTAGAAATCTTTGACTTACAGCATCTGATATTCCCATGTGAGTCATTAGGCTTTGCAAAGCTGGGGTTCTGCAGTTCTTGACGTGGCTGGCTGCCCACATCACTACACTCTCTCCTCTTTTGCCTCTGTCGTGGCTTCCTCCCATAGCTGATGCTGGGACAACAGCACTGATGGCAGGACAGTGTTGTGTGCCTTCAGGCGCATTGTGGGGTTGGAACTGGATGAGCTTTAAGGTTCCTTTCAACCCAAACCATCCCATGATTGTATGAAATTCACTTCATCACAGTAAATCCTGCGGGAAGACAGGCACATCCTTGTCCTCGTCCAGGAAGCAGCGTCCTTGTGGATGCTTGCTGCTATGCCTGTGCCACACAACCCTGGCAGTGCTTCCCTATGTATCAGCTGCTTCAGGATACCACGAGTAACATGGGCAGGTCGAGATGCTCAGGCGAAAATGAGAATCCTGTTAGGCAGAAAAGGTGAAGACCACCAGATGAATGTCCCAAACTGCTGGCTCACATCTGGGCAAGAAGCATAAAGCACACATGTGAAATGCAGTCTGCATGGGACTTTGATGTGGTAGGTTTGGGATGATCTCATCTACCTTAGGAGTCACAGCAGTGGTAAAATTCAGATCAGTGTATTTGCACAGCTGGCTCTTAATGTCTCCGGAAGAAAAGAGCGCCCTGAAAGGCAGCACAAAGTTTAGGAATGAGAAATTCTTCTTGCATGCTGGTATCTTTGATCAGGAGAAGCCAAGAACAGTAGGAAGATTATGTTCTCTCCTACGTATGGATATTGCTATATTGCTTGGGAAATGTGTTCAGCATACACTAACTGTAGGGAAGAAAAGCAATTTATCACTTTCAAGAGGAAAAAGAGTTGCTGAGGATAAAGAATCTCATAAAATTGTAATCAACTATGAAAATTGATAGTTTGCAAATCAAGAGGCTGCTGAGTCTGGGGCATCATTTCCCTTTGTCCTTGCACTCTGGAAAACAGCAGCATAAATCAGAATATTGTATTCTTTGAAAAAGGGTTTAAGAAGTCATTGGATCCTCAGCCCAATTGTAAGAGTCCAGTAGGACACATTTTCCAGGAGTAGAGAGATGTTTTAAACAGGATGTTTTGTTAATGTGGCTTTTCAAGAGAAAACATATAAGGCTGCAAACTCCTTTCAAATTATAAATGAAAAGCTTAAAACATCTCAAGTAAATGATTAATCTATTAATTATTAGTAAGCTCTGGAGTGTATCGGTCCTATAGCAGCAATGAATGTCTTTGGGGCTTGATATTGCCATCTGTGCTCATTGTGTGCTTTATCACCAGAGCTGTTTTATTGTAATGAATTGGTCTGCTCACAAGGTACTACTCAGTATGCAGTAGCAGGCAATCTACCCAATCTCATACTTGTTTGAATGCCTCTTTTTTTCCCACTTTGCTTAAGATAATAGCATTTTTATACTGCCCTTGGCTGCAGGCGCAGTAATGGTTAGCAATGATATATATTCACCAAGGGAAACAGCAAAGGATAATCCATATATTCCAAAGTCTGGAGCTAAAATTTTTGCAAGTTTAAAGCAAAATGTGCTTACTTGGAATGTATTAATTTGTAGCAAGGACAATAAAAATGCATTCTGCAGTTTGCTGTTATCACAAGGCAGTTCCATGCAATAATTTACCTGTGCGATGAATTATGTCAGACAAGGGAGAAGAAATAAACTGTTTAAAAATGGAAGGTGCAGGAATATGGTGAGAGTAGGAATGGGGATGCAACACACTTTTGTAGGTGAAGACAAACACTTCCCTCATTAATCACTGGAAAAGACACCTTGCTATAATTTCAAGTTAACCTGATTTTCATGCAGAACATTGATGCAGTGTCTAAGGCCCCTGAGCTGCCTTCTGCAGTATAAATCTATTGTGTTTTCAGCTCTGCGGGTAGAACATGAGGATTTGTCACATGCAGGCTGACGTGGTGTGAGGCAAAGACGGAGAGATGCAAGTAAACTCTGCTTTACGAAGGAGTGCCCTGTTTCTAGGGAGCATGAGCATTGTGCAGCCATTGGGAGTGCTGACATGAGTGCTCATGTGAGGAGGAAAGCCTAAAGCAAACCATTGTAAGAAAATATCAACCCACACTGGTTTTGAGAGGATTAAATAGGTGGTGTCTGGGTCGGGCTTTATCTCCTTCAGAGCTGGTTGGTGAGAAAATGGCTCCAGTGCCTTTGGCCGTTTGGGATATATTAGAGAAGGGTGTGAAGTTGTCTAGGGGATCTCCATCTCGCCTTGAACTGGGCAGGCACTGGCCTGGCAGCTGTATCTAAATGATCTTTACTATATTTACTAGATGAGAATTAAGGTCCCTTCCAACGCAAACCATTCTATCCTGGCAGAAAAAAGCTCTGCACAGGGCACGGGACCTCATGGGCTTTGTTCCAAGCTGGTTTTCATGTAGGTAGCTGCAAGCTTGGGCACCCAAGACTGTCTGCAAGAGGCTGTGGCAGGCAGACCCACAGACAGAGAGGGCCAGCATTGTTTGGGAACTGGAAGAGGCAGGTTGTGCCATCTGGAGAATCAGGAAAGTACCCCGGGGGCATTCAGTGCTGTCAGTTGGCTTCAGGATTTGGGCATCTAGCCTCCTTGGGTAATGTTTTTTCCTCTGCATTTGTAGGAGACAAACCACTTCTCATCCATGAGTCTGAATAAATCACGTAGCCTTTCAGTGCACCTCAATTCCTAAATCATTTCGTTCTAAAAATGTTACTAGTAGCAAGCAAATCATAGGCGAGACAAGCGCTGAGTGCAGGACCTTCATAAAACCCTGTCAGAGTGGCCAGAAATTACTATCTTTATCCTATCACGCCTGGAGACACTGACTTGGAGAGATTCCAATTAATTTTCCAAGGTGCAGATGGAATGAGAAACTCCTGACTCCCAGTGTTATTGCCCTGAATTGCTTGGGCACCGTCTCTTCAGTAAACCCAGGGGTGGCTCTGACAGCTGCCAGCCATTTCCAGCAGCACATCGCTTCCATTGCTCGCCTTCCACTTGATCTGGCACCTCCTGAAGTTAGGAGGAGCTGCAACCCTGACAGTAATGGGAGGAGGAGAACATAAAAAGCTGGTAAATGCTCTTACTTGGAATTTGAAAACTCAATTTAATAAAACAAACTTATATTTTTGGTAACCTCCTGATTAAAAAAGCAGGTTTACTGCTCTGCATCTTACAATAGATTTTCTCTTCTTCTCAAGTAAAGGAAATGGAAGACAAGGGAGTAAACCCACACATCCAATGCAGAGGTGGAGTTTAAAGCCATTCCTTCGCTAGAAGTCCCCATATTTTGCCCTGAGGCATTTCCTTTAAGGTTACACTTGAGCAATCTCTCACTGTTAAAGCTGTAAAACCCAAGTAGACTTGAGGGCTTTCTTCCGTGGCTGGTTTCCTTCCAAGCTAGCGACTCAGCTCTGATTAATACTTGACAGCTGGTAGGTAAGACAGAAGTAAAATACATCTCTCTCTGGTAAGGCCCATAAAAGAATAGATGGAAAGTATATGCTAGTGAATGTAATTATTTAAATTATGCCCATATGGGTATACAGACACATAGCAAGCTGCAAACACAGATTTCATTTAATTCTGAAGCAACTGTTAAGACAATTTAATTTTGCCAGTCCTGGAGCCTAATGGTGGACTATATAAAAAGACAGCACTGTTAGGTACCTTGAGCCAGTGATTTCCAGTAGAAGTTTGTTATTAACTCATTCAGGCCATCTTAAAGAAAAAACACAACTTTTCCTTAATCCTCCATTAGTGCAAGCAGAGGTTATTCATTTTCCTTGAGGAATAAGGCAGGCTCCCACATATCACATCTACATTTGACTCTGACCGTGGTTTTACAAAGCTGTACATCTTTCAACAGTTACATCACAAGTCCCAGAATCTCTTAATGTAGTAGGGAAGTTGACCACTTGATTATGAAACAGAGCACTCCATGACCACCCTTCAAATACCATCAGCCACATACAGCATATCCTCATGTTTCCTTTTATTACATCCCTCGAGGTGAAAGGAAAAAGGGTCCCACTCGTATTTTTCACTGATACTGCAATATTGCAAAGTCTCCTTAAAGCATGTGAGTGAATTGTGAAGAAAGAGTTAATGGGTGATATTAAGCCTTGTTGATTCGAGCAATGAAGGCAACATGATTGAAAATCAATGAACTTGTCTCAAATTGTAATATAATTAGTAGTTCTGCCAGCTGAGTGTATCGAATAGTTCAGAGGGGCCTTCCTGGAACAAGGTGAGTCTTGCTCTGAAAGCCTCTCAGAAAAAAGGGAAGTAGTTTCTTTGTTCAGAATAATAGGCAGTGAATGTACAAGCTCTTTCCTGATGGCTATTTAATTAAAATGGTGAATAATGTGCTACTTCTAATAGGCAGGAACTCCAATTCCTTCCTTACTAGATGCAGTGGAGGTTGGGAGTTTATACTTTGATTTTTAAATACATGAGTACTTGCCTTAGGTTTTGATCCAACTGAAGTTCAATCAGTCCCTTAGTGAAAGCAAGCAAGACCAAGCAAGAGAATGGTCTAAATACAAAACTGGATGTCGACGTTGCTCCCTGCCGTTGGTTTATTAGTTTACTATTATTTCCTATTTTCTGCCCCCAAAGTTGAGCTATAGAAGAATCATTTCTGTACCGGGACATTGCTTATCTCCTGGTTCTCGGATCAGCCCTTTTCCTCTCTGAAGCCACTGACAAGGAATGGCACCAGCCGGTGAGTTTCAAGTCTCCAATTCCTTGTTTCCCACAGTGCCACCAGTGATTCGCGTGTACCCAGAAACACAGGCACAGGAGCCTGGCGTGTCAGCGAGCCTCAGATGTCACGCTGAAGGCATCCCTAATCCCCGAATTACCTGGCTAAAGAATGGCATTGATATAATTCCAAAACTATCCAAACAACTAGCGCTCCTAGGTAAGAACAGAGTTCTGATTAATTAAAGTACTGTAGATGGGGATTAAGGAGGATTATTTTGCACTTTATACCAGAAGTTCCTGACTTTCGCTAATCCACAGTTGTTGGAAATCATGTTACAAAACCCTTGTTCTTCCTTTCTATCTTTTTCTCCTGTGAATTTCTCAGGAAACTCAGTATTGATTGATAGGAGTGGAAATCTGTTCTGTTAAACAACCACATGCCTGGTTCTCCACTGCCTCACCTCTTGTGCAGAGCTGGGCAAAGCAGAGGAGGAATTCATTTAATTCCTTATTCAGGTTTATTTGCATTGGGTACAAGTCAGCTCGGAATCAGGTTGTAGTTCACTTGGCTCTTCACACCCACCTCTGCAGAGGGAATTGGGCTCTGGACTCCTGTTGGTCCCTGTTCAAATGAGGCTGCAACAGACACAGCAAAAGGCAAACTTACTCTGTGTAAAAATATTGAAAGCCTTCCCCCATCTCCCCTAGTCTGGTTGTGGTGTATTGCAGCCCTCAGCCAGCGTTGGCAACACAGATCTCCCTCCATGGTTGGGTGCAATGTCTTAAAATAAGGTTTTAGGCAACAGTCCCACTCTAGAAAGCAAAATGATAGGAGCAGAGAAACCCCTCCCAATCCCAAGTTTTTGTTGATCTGATGAAAAATATTTCACAAAACTCAATTTAATTTTTCTCCATTAAAGCCAAAGTTTGGGGTTTTTTTAACAAGAAGAAATAAATGAATTGCAATCTATTGTTTGCACTTGGGGTTTGTCTTTGTTCATTCCTGGCACAGAGCATGTATGTGCTAATGGAAAGAAGCAAAACATCAACTGTGATGAGAATCCCCAGAATACCTCTAGTTATGTACAGGGAAACATGTGGTGAAGCCACCCTGTTGTTGCCAGGCAATGGAAGGCAATTAAGAGCAGGAAAAGCAATTAGCAGCAGCGAGGAACACAGTTTATGGGTGTCTTTCTTACAGCAAATGGAAGTGAACTTCATATCAGTAGCGTTCGATATGAAGACACTGGTGCCTATACCTGCATTGCTAAAAACGAGGTGGGAGTGGACGAGGACATATCATCGCTTTTCATAGAAGATTCAGCAAGAAAGACCCGTAAGCTTCATTTTCCATGGATTTATTTCTTTAAGGAGTATTTAAATGTAATGTTATACATGCAAAGTAATGGTTCAGTCCAGTGCATGCAGTATGTTGGACTCTTACTTGTGAGGTAATGACAGTTTTGTCTGTGTTTTGATGAGATGATTGTATACTGGTTTGGGAAGGTAACATTTCCTCATCCAGGATTATGCTGCCTTTTATGTGCCAAAAATGTATGGATATGGTAGGGGTAATGTCTTAAGTAACAGATTTGCAATAGTTTTAGATATCAGAGAATCCCAAACCTAGTATTCTGTCGAATTATACATGGTTTCAGAAAACAAACTTCTTGGATGTCTGTACAAGACTTCTTTTAAAGCCAGTTACGAGGCAAAGTTCTCAAATATTTGGATGCTTGGAAAATGCTCTGATTGAGTTATTGATTTTCCCTGCATTTACATCACTAACCAGCAAAACAGGCTTCCCCCGGTGTGAAATTATCTTCCACTTCCAAGACAAATATTCCCCCAGCCGCTCTGAGCTGCATGTGTCCCGGAGGAGTGTGGCATTGTTATCTTGACCGCACTGTCCCTGAAACACAATTAATGGAGGAGGTGATTAGTTGCCCCAGTGGAAAAGCTCCCAGAGGTCTGATTCTTTCTAATTCTGCTCTCTTAACTACTTGGGAGATTGCTTGGGTTTATGGGGATACTAAAAGGTTAGGTGCAAATGGGATTTTTGCTACTTTCCTGGCTGTTAATAGAGAGCAAGAATTGAAAACGAAGTTAGCCATAAATATGTGCTCTCATGGCGGTTCTTTGGAAAATATATTCTATTCCTCATTAAATAGATTTATGTACTCTTGTTAATATTGCTCGTTTTCCCTTGAATACGTGAACAAGGGAAATTGCAGTATGTTGAGAAATAATTGGATCTATCTAAAACAGAAATTCAAATGCAGATGTACTTTCAAAGGGTATTTGAATCCTCAAAGAGAACCTAGTTGCATGAAATTCCACAAAGAAATCCAGCAAAGTGTGTAGCTGCTGTAACTGCCAGTCTCAGGCTTCTGAAAGATGTGATGTTTCCTTACTGAACCTGTACAGAAAACTAGAGCTTGTACCATACAGGTACATTACATTTGAAGGTAACACCTTCTCTTTAGTAAGACTTTAATCTATTCACAGGCTAAAGTTGGCTTCATTTCAGGGAGGATTTTTCCCATGTCAGAGATTCAAAGTCGTCTCTAGAAGGAGCGAATGTATTTAGAACTATCTTTCCTGGTATTTTATGTGAATGAATGTTACAGAGGGTCACAAATGAAACAGTTCATGTAAACATGAATATTAATTCAGTTTCTTGCTACAATGACAATTTTGACATTGTTTTGTTTTGTTTTTTTCTGTTCCTGATTATTTTCTGGCTTCCCCAATTTTCTGATGCTGCAGTTGCAAACATACTGTGGCGAGAGGAAGGTACTGCAGTAAAGTTCTTTTGTCGTAGTGATAATGTGCTTGTCTGCTTTAATAATTCCATGATGGGCCATTCTCCACTGACTTGCTGCTAACTCTATCAGCTTTCACAGTTACCAGATTAAGTACAGACCAGACATTTAAAAGCTAAACTATTCAGATAAGAGATATCGCTCTCGTAATATAAATCGTACCTTCTGATACTTTCCCACTAAGAAATAATAGATGACCATAAAATATGTAAAAATGGGACTTTTATATAAACTGCCACAAATGTGAGTAGCCTGCAGATTCTCAAGCTGCATTAACAATTGCACAAGTGTCAGAAGTCCTCCCAAATTACCATAATTGAACAAGTAGAACATAAATCCAATACACTGCATTTTAAGCAAGCAATTCAAGCTCTTCCTCCTCAGTAGCATGTATTGATGTTTACTAGGCGAGCCACAAAAATTGTGTTCTTCACTGTTAGGCAGGAAAAAAACAGGTTTTGCTTCTTTCTATACTTTAAATCGATGCAGAGTAAAGGTTGCCCCACTTCTCCTTGTTTTAATTGGCAGTTAAGATCTCTAGTTTGATCAAATCTACGTTGTGCCCTGCACAAGGTCAACATCTGTGTGTCTTGGAAGCCAAATTAGAAAACAAAACACCATCCTAACCAGCTAATTGACTCAAAGATACTATGGAGGCACTTGAAATTGAAATGTATTTGATTTTGTGCACACTTGTGCTGTCGTAATGTCCAAAATGCACAGTAAGATGCATCATGCAGAGGCCCAAGGAGCCGCTCAAGCACGTCTGTAAGTGCCTGGATGGGGAGCGCAGCCTCAGGCTCCTCGGGCTGTGTGCATGGTGTCTGCTCACCAGAGGAAGGTTCTTGGGCTGAAGTCCAAGTGTAAGCCAGTTCTTGCATCCGCCAGTTACATGTGGGGAAGTTGGGAGCTTGGAGTCCTTCCAGCTTTGTGGGGAGGTCCCTGGGCACTTATAAGCTGCTCTCAACCATGTGCCCCTGCCTACAGCAAACACCTCTCCCTCCTGGTGTTCCTCCAAGAAGGGCTCCTCATTCACTCTGCCTCTGGAAGTGCAAAGACCCTTTATACTTAGTGCCTCCAGCTACACAAAATGACAGCTGGGCTTTGTGCCCTTAGCTTGGAGCTTTCTGGATTTCTGTGGCTTGGCCCAAAGGGTTTTAGGGGCAGAAGGGAAGTGCAACCTCAGCCGGGTGTTCAGACACCCCATGCATACCTGCTGTCCCACTGCTGGCTGCAGACACATTCCTACGGCAAACGCAGCAAGCTGGAGGTCATGAGATGTGGCACAGTGCCTAAGACAGCTCTTCAGCATTTATTCTCATATATGCCACCTACAAGTGGCTGGTGCACGACAGTGAAGAGTATCTTTTTACTGCTGACGTTCCTATAAATGGCATTATGGGCACTAAGAATTGCTATTTCCCTTCTGCTTGGAAGTGAAATCTCTAGTGCATCTAATCAGCCCAGCATCACCTGCAGGATGCTATATGGCTGTTTATATACTGCATCCCTTATGCTCCTTTATAAATAGTTGGATAACCCTACCAGATGTAGTAGTAATATTTAAAGAACCAACTAAGAAGTTGATTGCAGAAAGTCTTATTATGATTCTGCTAAACAGTATGGACTTGCTGCTTATCGACATTGCACATTAAAGTATGAGCAATGTATAGGGAAAACATGGGCAGTGAAAGCATATTTACTATTGCTGTTCCTAAACAATTCAGTATCTTTAGAGCAGGTTTATTCCCCTGTCTGTTTTGTTCTATCAGCACATTCATTCTAGACAAAGAATCCATTGAATATCCTTTAGCATGTGAAATCTTGGCACAGAAAAAGCTGGATGAGAGGAATAGTATTTTTTACATTTTAATGTATTTTTTTAATTCCATTAAGATAAAAACTTACGTGTGAGTAGCAGTATTAAATAACACATCGGTAGACTTGAGCACCTTTAAAATGATCACATCCATGTGCCCACCAGGTCTGTAGTAACTAAAGCTATTGGGAAAATACCTAGACAGAATATTGTGTAAGAGAAGCATTTGCCTCAAGTCATAGTTTTAACACAAGTAATTAACAAGAGTCAGTCAATCAGCCTGTCCTCAAAATCTTTCACAGGCCATGCACAAGTTAGACCTTAAAACATGAGTACAAATAGCATGACCAGCCAGTTAAACATGAAAGTGGAAGCACATGCAATATTTACTCAATCTACAAACAAGCACAGAAAGCTACAAGTAGCCCAAATGTAAGGTAGAGATCTATTTTCATGTCAGTCTTCATGTCTGCAGCGAGTGTTACTTGCTTTATACCTGGGGAAAGGGAGCATACTGAGCCAGCAGGCAATCATCAGTATATGAATGTATGCACTTTAAAAGCTAAAAGCCTTTTTCTAACCAAATTTAAGTTCTAAAATACTTCCAAGCATTCAGGTTAAATCGAGGCAAATTATTCAAGTATGAGATCAGAGGAGAGTATTCCACAGTGACATATTTTCCCTTTGATCTCAAAGCAGGGAAATACAAAAGTACACTCAGTTGGAGACTCTATTCCTCAAATAAAGCAAACTCTGGTTGTCATCAGGTGTCCTCCTGAAGTGCTTAAAATGAAGATACTAGAATCAACTTCATCTAGAATAGTTCAAATAAGAATCGTTATGGTTAGGAGACCCTCCCTATGCTTAATGAGGGTTTTGTTACATGATGGGTTTTGTTACACAGATGAGGTATGTTGCCTTTTTTAAAGCCTTTAGTTTTTGAACTAGTTATGTCATCCAACCTGAAATGTCTTCAATTAAAAAGGGAAAGAAAAACATTTCTCATCACTCCCCCAGTTTCCAATCTAGTACCTGACTCACTACTATAAATAACACAGCTCTGCAAAATTCTCCGTTGCCCACCTCTGTACTGAAATCATTCCCCAGACCCAGGAGCTGCAGCAGTAAAATCAAGAGCAGAGTCCCTTTTACCAATGTCCATGAGATTGTTTAGAGATGGATCCCGATCAAGACTTGGCAAATAGTTCATAAGTCATAATAAAACTCCTGGTTTGTCTAATAAGAAAACTGCTTTGTCTAAAAGTCAGTGTGAAGATTCCTCTCTAAAAAAAGTCTTGGGTAAACCTTTTTTAAGAGAGAGCATGTGAATGCTATCTGGATCATACTTCAAGCCAGTCAACATTAAAACTTGCACTCATTTTACTGTGAAATAAGCGATGGGACTTGCCAAGTCACTAACTCTAAACCTACCAGGGTAAAATTATTACCAAAGTATTTTTGTGACTAATTATGGCCTCAGTTCTGAAACATACCCTCATTGTTACAGGCTCATCAGACGAAATCACGCTCCTATCGTGCATGAAAATAATAATGAGCATCTTCACAACAGTCATAATTTGTTGCCTGCCTGTTTCCACTTTCTAGGATTAAAATCCTTTACTCATGGCAATATGTGCACTCATTCCAGCCAGGGTCAAACTCTGCCCTCTAATGTGTTCACTCAAGTCCCACTGGAGGAGGTGGGAGTTGTGTGTGTGCTGTGAGGGCAGATTTTGGTCCAAAGTGCCGAAATGAAATGTTTTAGCAACATACTCAGGAAAAATGAGCCCTAAGTCCATAAAGGTAACTTAGTTTTGATGAAAGTGTGGCACTGTGGCATCACGTTTAAAGGATCGTGGCTCCTGTACCCACCTGATGCCCTAACTGGGGTATTTCTGTGGTATGGTTTAGGGACACTCAGCTTGGACATTGTCAGCACAGTAAACACCATGTGCTGAGATGTTGTACTCTGAAGCCCCTTATTTGGCACAGAAAGAGGGGGTTTTAGCTCCAAAAAAAACCCCTTTCTGGACTTTCTAAATACTATGGAATTTATAAAATTTCCCAAAAAATGCATTTGTCCAAATTATACATGTTGTTATAGGGAGGTTTTGGTAATGATTTAGACCTCAATCCTGCAAACACTTAAGAGGTGTGAGAAACTGTAGATGTGAGCAGTGTCTGGAGCTGCCATCACTGGAGCAACCGAGGGAATTGTAAGGCTGAACATTGTTCAGACCTGTAGAACCAGGACCTTACTTCTCCATGGGTAAAATGTAATTAATTAGAAATTACAAATTATCAGATCACCCTATCATTAGCAGATAAGTACACTATCAGCATTACAGAGGTGACAGTGGTCATGGCAAACACTTAGTGGTGGTGAAAAAGATGAAATGACTCTTGGATCTTTCTAACTAGAGTGTTTGAAAAGATCCTGAACATTTCTTAAAGGTGCTCATTGCTGCAATTGCATGTAGCTGGAGAACAACTAAATTATCAGTGGTTTAAAGCAGTTCTGCATGGCAGAAATGACAAAATACAACCTCCTAACAGCAAAGCAATGACAGACAGCCAGTTTTCCGAATCTCCTGGAATGCCCCAGTTAGATAAATGAGTGCTGTTGCGATGCTGAACTACTCCACATTTGTGAATTACAGTTTGCAAGATTTCAAAAATGTGTTTGTTTTGGTGGCTATAGTTAGTTCATTCAGATAGTTTCAGAAAATAGGCAAATAGAGATGTTTTCAGATGTTAAGCACTTCCATTTTGCATCACAGGTACAAGAAGTCAAGTTACCTGTAACAAGATAACCTTCAGGTTAGTTTTAGCTAAAGCTTCTCCTTCAGCTCTCAAATTATTAGCAAGCTGTTTTTAATGAAATCATAGAAAAACCATAGTCGTAACCTGAGGGAGTGAACAATGCAATACAGGGGCTTCTCGTCATCAAATCTGGCTTTGGTTCATATGCACAAGACCTGGACATAGTTGTTTGTGTACGACCACCGCCACCAAGGCAAGGCATTTTTGAATGTGTCTGTACCTCTTCACTTCTTGAAGCCCTTGTTGTGACATGGAATTTGATTTTGTGAATGCACCAACTGCATCCAAATGACCAGCCTTTCTGTGAGGCAGATTCTGTTTGCTGGGGGAGGAGGGAGAGTTCTGAAGAAAGTCCTAACAGCTATGGATCCATACTGAAAAATTTCTGCTTCTTTTCCTTTATCCCCCCTAAAGGCCTGAGTGTTGGGAACATGTTCTATGTCTTTTCTGATGATGGGATCACAGTCCTCCAGCCAAACGAATGTGAAATCCGGAGACACATCAGGCCCGAAGAGAGGATTTTCACAAGTTATGTAAGTCCTAAACCCAGCAGCTACATCTGACAGCTCTAAATCTCATCAAAGGGTGTTGGTGCTAAAGGGCACAGTGATGTTGGAGCTGGGTGGGCTTCGTGTGACATCCCTGAGGTGTATCATCTCCTCCTCTCGAAAATTAAGGGAACCATGTAAGTTATAAGCCTGGCATGGAGAATTATTGACACGCTGCAAAGAATTTGACTAGTTCCCATGTCAAAATGTAGGCAAAGACTTTTACTTGACCTGATTGCGTATCCTCGCCCTAAAGTTGTAGCTGGGCTGCTCGGGAAAGTACAGAAGTCAGTAGCAGCGAGATGCACACATCACTCAGTGGCCCCTTTTACTGATAGGCAAAGGGTTGGGCACTTTCTGCTCTTCAGAAATAGTTCCCCAGATTAAACCACAGCAGGGAGATGGGTCAGGATGCGCAGAAGAAGTTGGTGTCATGCTGGTCCTCTGCATCTACTGCCCCTGAACCGCAGACCCATGTCATCCTTGTTTGCTGTCCGGCATTTCCTGGCAGGCTGGGTTCACCAGCCCTTGCTGTAGGAAATCACAAGGCAAATGTGTTCAGGTGTCAGTGAATGTCAAACACAGCCTTGTCCACAGTGGAGCTCAGCATGACAAGGGGGATAACCTGTGCCTGGGGCCCTGTGAGGACAGTGTTTTCAGCGACCTCTGTTACGTACTCCTGTGCAGTAATGTACACCGTGTGTATGCTCGTGGATCTGTCAGTTCTCATAGAACACAGCTACAGCAATACACCAGAAATGCTTTTTTAGTCACTCCTTCGTTTAGTGGAGTTTTTTAAAAGGGGAAGCTGAGAATGTGGCTACCTTCTGAAGAAAGGACTCAGCCTTCCAGGGGAGAATCACTATCACGAGCCCCACAAGCTGGGTCAGGCTCTGCTGCCATGGGTCAGGGTCTTCCTGTGAGTCTGCATTTAGTACTTTTTAAATCCTAATAAATTTGTGGTTGATTCTGGGGTGTTTTCCCACTGGATTTTAATATACCTTAGTACAAATCCAGACTGATGCTCACCCCAGGACTGGCTTAATGTTATTAAGCCACACTTGAGCTGTTGCTGCTCAGAGACAGAAATCTTACGTTTCTTTTTTCCAAGGAGCTGTAAATATTGAAGAGGTGGGTCTGGAGAAACAGCTTGAAAAGAACAAAGGAGAGAAGGCACTTAAGGAAATAATGTCATCGCAGTGGTGGGCATGAAAGGGATTTTTAGCGTCATTACTTGACTGCCTTTCAGAGAGACCTCTAAGGGTTTCCTACCGATATCATAGGTCCCTTTCCCTTGATATAGGGAGGATTGGCTTTTTTCTCCCCTCCTTTTTCCCTTTTATTAGTATCTTGAGTGTTTGTCACACAGACAGTGACACCAGCCTACAGCTTCAGGAGGGTTTCTACAACAAAGGTTTCTTCATTTGCTGTTAGAAGGCACAAAAGCAGACAGAGCAGCTGAGCACTGTAGTAGGAGGGTTGGTGGCATTTCCCTGCTCCCGTTGCTTTTGGTGGATGCTGTGTCGTGAGAGCCCAAGCCCCACTGCAGAGCTGAGGATGAGGAAGGCAGTTTGGAGGCTGTTGGGTGCTTGACTGTGTGAGTGGCTGCTGGAAGCCCAGGGCTGAGCTTTTGTAGCATCTTTTCACTTGCAGTAGCATAGGAAAGAAAAATGCAGCCAAGCTGCTGAGTCTTGTATCTTCATCCAGTCTCCACCAAGGTACCTAAACCAACAGAGCTGTGCTGCTTAGTGTGAAATCTTCATCCATAACCATCACTCAGATACAAACCTGATGTTGGCATTGTTTTACCTTGTACCTCCTCTTTCCCGGAAGAGTTCTGCTGCCTTGCTTTCCCTTTGGGGTGGTTGTGCCACTATTTAAAGTGACCCAGCTGTTGTATTGACAAGTTTTAAACCCAGCACTTTTGCTCACTGAAATATATATATGTTCATTTTGTTTCACCCTTGTTTCCACACCACAGCCTGCTCCCACACAAATGCTCTTTCCGATAAAGCAGCTCAACAGAAGGGAGAGTGATGAAGAGTAGCCAACACGCAGAGGCTTGTTGGTGAGATTACGTGTGACTCTTCCAACTTAGGATACCAGTGAGCTCCCGCAAGCTAATACCAGTTTTGTACAGGACTCAGTGAGGATCAGAGACAAAATAATGGCATGAGGCAGCTGTGAACAGGATTTGGTCCAAAGCAGCAAGATTTGGTTCCTTTTGAGCAGAGGAAGTTTCTGTGTTGGAGCAATAGACTGTAGAACTCTGCTTGTCTTGCCACTGTTTCCCTGAGCAGCAGCATTTCAGAGCACACTCACCTGGACTGAAAATGAAGACTTGATGAAAAATATAAAGCTGTGATTCAATTAATGTAAATCACTGTTTTTTCAAAGCATAGAGTGTTATTTCTATTGCTCATAAACCCTGACAGCGCTGCAAGTCTCGGTGAACCACACTGTACTTCAAAGATAGATCCATATAGACACTATGGTTATTTGAATTCAGTGTGAGTTTGCAGGAGGTCCAGCTATTTAATGTCACTGGGTAGACCCAGGCTGCAGTGTGATATCTGAAAAAATAATTATTTCATGTTTTATAAGGGAAAAAAAAGGGAGGGAAATATCATCCTAATGGAATCCCCAGGGATTTTTTTCTTGTGGTGTTCAAGGCTAAGTTCTTGCTGCTCCAGACCCTGAACTTATAGAAATTAAACCTTTTCTCCTCTTCTTTTTTCCCCTTCAGGAAGAGATCTGTCCGAGAGTGGAAGGTGAAGGCGCTCACTCCTGCCTCTGGGCTTCGGCAGTCAATGTCAGAGACAAGTACATTTATGCGACACAGCCTAAGCTGAATAGAGTAATGATAATTGATATCCAGACTCAGAAAGCCATACAGGTACTTACAGGGGGAAGTCTTTATTCACTGGTGGCAAAAGACTTGATATGGGACAAAAAAAGTAGATCTTTGCCCAGTGGATCTGCTGACACTGCTTGGGCCTGTGTTGCTTTCACCCATGGGGTCACACCACGTCGTTTGTGTTCTGTAAACTTGCTGGCAGGAAAAAACACTCCTTTATGGGTTGGATATCACAGTCCCAGGGGTGCGTCCGCAGCCAGGCTTGCAGCTAGTGTGGTAATATATATAGCACAAGGATGAATTTCTGGCTCACGCTTACTGAGCTGCTGCCTGACCTCAGTTATAAGCAGGGTGGGAAGAATGAAGTGGTGTGGGTATAATTCAAGCAGAAATTGGTCCCTGATCTACTGGCTATCAGTAACAGCATAAGATGGAATGATGTCTAGCTGGATAACAGCAACGAGCAGCCGGATTTTTCTCCTGCTGATCCCTCAGTTAATCTGAAGGTGAAGCTGCACAATGAGTGCAACAGTGGTGCATGGGAATGTCTGCAGTAAACTACTATAACATTTGCCTTGTGCATTTGGGTCACTGTGCAAATACCTATTTCTGTTTTTTTAAGTCCTTGGATGTTGACCCGTTACCAACCAAATTACATTATGACAAGTCCCACGACCAAGTGTGGGTGCTTAGCTGGGGTGACATGCGGAAGTCCTCACCAACGCTGCAGGTAAGTCCTTACGCACCTGAGCCTTTGCCCTTCCTGAGCTTGGCATCATCGGTAGCAAGCTGGTTGGTTGCAGGTAATTAACAACGTTTAATGGTCTGGATATAAAGCTGCTCTTTCATTTGCATATCTAGTGTGTTTTATTCATCCCTCCTCCGTCCATCCTCACATATTTTTCCTGCTGTTTAATTTGTTTTTGAGCAATGACTGTGCCATAGGCTGGCAGCAGGACTGCTTTGTTGCCAAGGTCTGTTTTGTTTAAGGCTGATGACAGAGCCAAATGCTATAAAGTTGTACAGCAAAGGCTGGCAGCTGACTGTGAGCAGTATGAGCCTGCCGTGTTCCAAGGCCCAAGGAGGATGCCAGTGGGGTCCTGGTGCTCCTCCACGCTCAGCACCATCAGACCTACAGTGATACTGGGGCACAGTAATGCACGTAGGTTTGTACAACTAAATGAACTTCCATTTCTGGATTGCCCTGGAGGATTTATTCTGCTGTTGATGGTACAGAAACATTAAGTGTAGGCATCTAATTGGGCATTTTACTGCTGCTGTATGTGATATGACAGAGTTGACACCAAAGCTGACTTGATCCAGCTAGACATACCCATTTCTAGCAGTTATTTTCTGGCACTTGATTTCCTGGGAACAGAGGTGGCATGTGAATACTCCTTCTACCAGAAATATTTGCTTGGAAGTCTACATTAAAACATTCCCCAACAGCAGAGAAGGTTGGCTGTGCTTTCTGACCTAAAAACCTATCAATCTGGACTCCATGTTCTTCATGGGGATGCTGCCCCATGAAGGTGGGATGAGCCGTTCTCACCAGCCATGTGCTTCATCTGAGATAATGGCTGCAGCCTGCAGACTTGCCTTAACAAAGAACGGGCTAGCAACAAAACATGGGCATTTTCAGAAACGAAACCACATGGGGACAAATAAATGGAGGTTTCTGAGGCAGTGCCGCCAGCTTGTCACACCTGGGGATGAGCAGTTTCCTGTACAGGGTATAAGGAGATAAAATTGGCTCTCTTTACCCTCTCTGACTTAATTTCTTCCATCCAGCTGTGAGAGGTTTCTGTAATTAAAGGAGACATGGCACAAGCATGTGATTATTAAGAAGAACACACCACCTGCACAGTTGGAAACTTGTTATAAGGCTCCAGCTCTAAGATAGTCCTTTCTGTTATGCTTATGAAGTGCAGTTACTTATGTAGGGAGTGAGATTAACATCATCAGCAGCAGATCTTTCCTTTTTTCTGACCTTCTTCCCCAAAAGATGGGCAGTGACTAATCTGGCAAAGTTCATTCTTAAAACCCGCAGTGGTTTGTTGCAGACATGCAATAAAACATCTTCTTTTATCAAAGATGCTACTGCCGAGGCTGATCTAAATTCCCACTTGTTTTTTGGAAGTCAGGGATTTATCAAGCAGCCCGAGCAGCCGACTAATGGGATGCTGTTTAGCCATTACTGGCTTGTGGGAAGCAAATGTCTGGCCTTGTGAAAGCCCAGTGCAAGAGCGGGCATCTTTCTTGAGCAGTCTAATTGGAAGAAATCTAAGTGGCACGACCGGAACAGCTGTCTGAACTAAACCTTGTAGGGATTTAACATTTCCTTAATGAATTATGTAGCTATAAATTCAAAGCAACTCCTGTTGCACATTAGAGCAGCAGAAGTTCCTAATGAATGGACTAATGTCATCTTGAACTGAGCAAACAATTAAAGTATTTGACATTTTACCTATTGAAAACTCCTACCTCTCCTCTTCTGGAGCGGTGGAGGAGCTGAGTTCCCATGGCCATGGAGGTGGGCGCTGGCCAGCATGGAGAGGGGACAGCCAAAAGGGCCTTTCACTGCCTCTTCCTGAATTATATATGGTGCAGTATGTGGATGAACAGTTCTCCTTCAAAGCGATAATTAACTGCTGTGAGTTAGTGCTTGATCCTTCAAGCTGGTAAATTATCACTGTGCATTTAAGTGAGATTAATAAATATAACTGTGAAATAAATGTTTATTTTAGACAGTGAGGAATAAATTATGATGGTCTCAGTGTTGTCGTACGACTCCAGCTCCTGCATGACTGCTCTTTTTTGAGATACAGACATCTTATGAAAGTCACGTTGTGTACTTACCTTACAAATGTCAAGCCTCAAATACTAATTATTAGCACACCTTTTTCAAGACAGCTACACCAGGCAATATTTTGAAGTCATTAATCAATTTGAGTCTACTACATCCCTGGGACAAACCACTCAGTACCATGTATGACTATATCATCTGTATTTACCTTTCTGCCTTAGTCGCTGCTTTTCCTGTACTCAACCTTGTGTGTATTTGTTATAGGTCATTCCAGAGGCAAGCACAGGGGAGGAGCAGCATGTTATCCGCACGCCATTTGAAGGAGTGGATGATTTTTTTATACCACCTACAAATCTTATTATTAATCACGTTAGGTAAGAAATGATCTTAATGAATAGCAACAGTGACCATTCTGCTCTTTTCTAGTGGGCATCTGTCATGGTTTAAGTAGTCTTCTAGTAATCTTACAAATGGGAATGAATGAATTCCTGATCAAGCTAACTACTCTTCATTTTCATGTGTGAAATGGAGAAATGATGGAGCAAATTACTAATAGTTATTCAGTGAATCAAGGAAACAGCAAGAAACAAACCTACACTTCCTTAGAGCATGCACAGGCATTCAAACCTCAGCTTGGTCAAAAAGTTGCCTTTCCTGCCTCAAAACTGCATTATGGAACTGGGCAGAAACCTATGTCAAAGATTTATTGCCTGAAATGGTAAAGGTTTAATCTGCCTGAAGCATAAAGCATGGTTTTTCCACGTATTTCCAACTTGTTCGAATACTGGATCTCTGTGTGAGGTGTGTGGTTTGAGCAGAAAAATGGTATGCACTGCATATTAAAAAGCCCACCTCTATGAACCGTCAGTTTTGAATGTTAATGTGGTGTAGTGGTTAATGAGATTGTGTAACTAACATACTAATAACTTGGAGCAATACTGGCTGCTTCCCAGAAGGCACAAGAAGCCTCCCATTAACGTTATCAAAACTGACGATAACTGCAAAGCAATTTATACTGTACTTACCATGTTATAACATAACAACTCTTTAACCGTCGTCTGTCCCCAGTATAGTTTAACTAAGTTACACGTTCAAAAAATGATGATGTAACTCCTTACATTCATCTTAGGTTCCCTGCAGTGAACACCGAGGACAGGGGGGTCATACTTGAATGATTGTGTGTTGAATCTGATCCAAAATAAATAACTTTGCTTCCTGAAACACAAACTAATGAGACATACTTCATGGCTGTCACTCTCGATTTCTCCCTACCTCACTTTTCCACTTTGCTTTCAAAATATCCTTATGACTAATAGTAGTGCCAGGAGGTAGATGGCTCTTCTGAATGCTAAAGCCTGAGATGAGAAGGTGTGATCTGGGTTCAAAGACAGGAAGGTGGAATAATTACGCTATTTATTTTGTTTCATTGTCTTCTTGCTTCGGTGTGATTAATTGGCTGTATACAGACAACCTTCTTTAAGAAATCCTGCGTGCAGATAATTGTCTATAGTTTTCCATGTGCAAAGCAGAGAATGCTTTGCCTAATTCCCTCTTTCATTTGGTCGGGGCCAGATCTTTGTCCATTCTCTTACTCTCGGCACCGAAAAATAATTGCTCACAGTCTAATGAGACTTACTGAGATTATGTTCTAAATTCTCCACTCAGAAACAATCAATGGCAATCCCAGCATTTCCCAGGAAGGTGAATATTTAAACAGTCTCTTCTGCAAGCCAACAAATGTTTGTATGCAAATATTGCTGCGTATGTATTGCAGCTGCCTGTTATTTCAGATGGATATCTAGGAATGTATCCATTTTTATTAGTTCCCAGGGTACGTTGTTGTCTATTAAAACCTCTCTAAGTGCAAGGTTTTCAGATCACAGATTCCAGGCAAGCGCTGCGCCTCTAATGCAGCCGTGTGCTCATAAAACACATTCTGACCCACTTCTTAAAATTAAAGTTTATGATAAGAACCATTTTTTAACATCAGGCTTTTGGCCAAGTATTAAGGAAGTCTTGGGGAAAAAAAAAATGCTGTAAGGGAAAGCATTTTTTAAAGTGTACTTAAAAAGCACTCATCCAGGAGAAATACAAGTGTCATATCCAATTTCCCCACACACAGTGCACCGCGAGTCTCCACTGCAGATATTTTCTGAAGTCTCTAATGCATGTGAATATAATGGGAAAATGAAAGGCTCAGCCCAGTGGTTTTCATGGGATCATACACTACAGTGGCTCATTCTTGAGAAGTGAAATCATTGCAGGGTCTCTCATTGATAGATGGATTAAGAATGAAGAAATAAACACAGTGTTTTAAGCAGAATATGTATTATCTGCACACAAGCACGTTGTCCTCCGTATTTCGCAAAGCAATTTTATATCTTTAGGGGAAGAGATACAAAACTAAGCACTCACTTCGTTTCCTTCTGTCTGCATTGAATGGATGAAAAGATACTCGATGTAAAATTAGTTTTGGTAAGTCAGTATCAGTGACCTGTGAATCCAGGTGAACGCAAACAGGCTGTTTCTGTGGGCTGTCTCTCAAATTAAGCAGAAACCTTTCTTGGCTATTCTTGACCTTTTCTTGTCTCCAGCAAAGGTCAGGTGTGCTGCAGTATATATCTTTTACAGAGCATTTATTCTGTGTTCACTGTTGTCTTCCCTCTCTTGAGACAGAAAACAAAGACCCCTTTTCTTCAGTGCACCCTGGTTATGTTCCTTGAGAAATGTTTTACACTTTTCCTGGGCTGGCAGGACAGGGTTTCACGCAGTCTGCTCTGCATCTTAGTCTTGTCGGTAGTCCCCAGCACCATGAGGAGCAAACACACATCACAACTACCTGCTGGTGCTGTAATTTAAGAGATGAGGTTGGACATGGTCTTCTCTCGGTGGTTATACACATTGCTCAGAGTTGTTCTCTGGCCCCAACTTGGCAGTGGTATGCTTTATTTTGAACAGTTTTCTGGTTTGGGATTGAAGAAGTCCTGAGTATATATTGAATTACATCTTGCTAGACCTGAAACAGATTAAACACAAAACTGGTCAACAGTAGCCTACAGAACACGCAAGCCTTGATTATCATTCCAGTTGTAGATGATTGATCTTCTCAGTAAGATTTCAGCTCTTGAAGATGTTATTCAAATACCCAAGGAGATATGCAAGCTTCCAAGCTCAGGTTGCTGATTTTAACTGAAATATATATACCTCCTTTTAGCATGTTTTAGAAGTACTAAACCAAGAGATTTGTTATAGAAAAGAGCCAGGATTATTGCACACACTTCCAAAACCAGCAGCATAGAGTTTCCCAGTTCTGCTGACTTTTGTCTTTTCTCAAGCGTCTCAGCGTGTCTCCAGAGATGACTTCAGTGTCACATTTTCTATTTCAGGTTTGGCTTCATCTTTAACAAATCGAAGTCAGCAGTTCACAAAATTGACCTGGAAACTGTGACCCACATCAAGACCATCAACTTCAGAAACCATAGCTGCATACCACAGACCATGGCTTATACCCACCTGGGCGGTTACTTCTTCGTCCAGTGTAGGAAGAATAGGTCGGTGGCTGCATCACCACAGGTCATCATTGACAGTGTCACTGATGCTGTCATCGGCCCCAACAGCGACGTGTCGGGCACGCCATACATCTCACCAGATGGACGCTATTTGGTCAGTGCGGATGAAGACAGTGGCAGGATCAAAGTCCAGGCTCTAACTGTCCGCGGGGAAATCAAGTTGATTTATGACTTACAAACAGACATACACATATCTGATCTGACATTTCAACCCTCTTTCACTGAAGGCAACCAGTACTATATATATGCTACTTCACATTTGCAAACAGATGTGCTTTTTGTAGAGCTGTCAACGGGGAAAATGAATGTACTGAAGAATTTAAAGGACCCTATCACATCCAAAGACTGGCCCTGGAGCAGCTACAACAGAATTATGAAAGACAGTGGACTATTTGGACAGTATCTCATTACACCAGCTAAAGAGTCATTGTTTGTTATAAATGGGAGGCAAAATACGTTACGCTGTGAGGTTTCAGGTATAAGGAGGGGTAACACAGTGGTCTGGGTTGGAGAGGTATGAAGGGCAATAGCAGTAGAGCCTTCAGCAGGCAAGTACCGGTTGGACCTTTACACTGCGACAACTGAGCAGTAGCATTGTATATTTTTACACTGGGGGGAAAAAAATAAGAAAAAAACAAAAAAACCCTGTATAGGCTTCATGGTACAACTCTGGTCTACTTGCAAGTTTTATAATATAAGGTATGCTCTGCTAATAGGAAGTGGTTTTGAAGGGATGTTTTTTATTTGGGGGTATGATTTGTGGTTATGAGAAAAATGCTGGGAAGCAAATAATATCTCCACTGAGATATCGTATAAGCCACGAAACCTAATGATTCTGTAGAACAAATCCCATTTTGAGTTTCCATACTGAGGAGCTTTTATAATGTGTTCAAGCCATCCATTTTCTTTCCCGTATGCCTTGCCCGTTCCCTACCCCAACACAGAGACTACGGAAGCAAGGACTGCAGTTAAAATTCGTCTTTGGATGATGAGGGAAACTAAGCATCAGAGAGCAGTTTCCAACCCACAGAAACCTTGGAGAGTGATTTAATGAGAACTGATCAGTTTTCTCTGCAGGATGGCTTCGGGAGGATTCACAGATGTGATTTCAGAAGGAGGCGTAACAGAAATAGCAACTGTCAGCTCGCTTTCTTTTGCGCTTAATTTTGCTCTTGGTACTGCTGAAGGCGATGTTAGGAGTCCCCCCCTCTTCTAATGCATATCTGTGTGATTGTAGATGAGAAATTTGGCATGAAGTATCCAGGCCATTAGAGTGAGTAAAAGCCCAGAAACACTGAGGCAGGGGTGTCAGAGTTTGTAAAGGATACTGTTGAGAAGGAGCGTTAGTCTTTCAGCAGCTTGTGAGTGTGGTCAGCTTGGCACAATATGCAAAACCTGCTCTTTGGGGCAGAGAACTAGTTACAGTTATTCCCACAGGAGGCACCACTCCTACACAATATGCAAAACCTGCTCTTTGGGGCAGAGAATTAGTTACGGTTATTCCCACAGGAGGCACCACTCCTGGAAATTGTTGGTTTCTCTCATTAAATGTTTAGTAGCATTGAAGTCACTTGGTTCTTCGTAAAATATTAGCTACAACGACAGAGCGTATTTTTAATAGAAAACTCACTCATTTTCTAGTCATGGCCTTAATTTGCCTCTTATCAGACATCCTGGGAAACAATTTTTCTGAGTGATTTTTTTTGCTTCCTGTTCTACTACACTTGTTTATAGTCAATTATCTTTTAGTTATGAGCAAAGAGCTTCATGTAAAACCAGCTGAATTACCCTCGAATGCAACAGCTGGCTTTGAGAAATTTCAGTTGGGTTCACATAAAAACACAGATCCATTTGCATGGTTGGAAGATAGAAGAACTTTTCTAGTGCATTTTGGTAACTTTCTCTATCCATCACCACGAAGTAATCAGGGCAGGAGCAGCCTTGGCTTGCAAGGCAGTGCAAACCAGGTGAATACCACCACTGCCACCATGAGCGGGTACGTCGGAGCAGTTGTAACCCATGTACCACTTTGAAGATGTGGTCTTGAGGTGGGTGAAACCTCTCTCTGAAGGTAAATATCTGTTCCATAGGAGCCACCCATCAGTCTTTGGAAAGACCCATCTTGTTTTGTGAGTGATCCCATTGACCAGAGTTCCTGTGAAAGCAGCTGCTGAACGCATCCCGTGATATGTAGTGGCACATCAATTACTTTCCTCCACAGATGCTTAAAGTCACTCATTTCACAGTGCACACAGAGGGATTGTAAATGAGAAGGGTGCAGACTAACACTGGTAATCTTTGCTTTAAACGTTAAACTTTACTGAAAGAGTAGCATTTTAGCATGGCTGTAGACCTGAAGTAATTGAAACCAGTTCAGTTCTATAGAGATTATGTAAAAATCTGTTCAGACAGACGAAAAAGGGGAGCTGAATCCTATGAATTCATTAAACATGGAGTCCTTGAAATTGCCCTTCAACACCCATAGGCTGAAACCTCCATCTCTTTTCACTTATGAGCCATAGGGGTTAGAAGAGATTATTCCATCATCGCAACAGAGGCATATAAAACAGATGGGCATAGCCTTTAGCAATGCATGGTGTCCATGATTTTCTACTCATCCAGTTAGGAAACATACCCATGTCAAGGAAAGGAGAAGACCAGCTTTGTAAGTACCTTGAAATATGCACAACTCCTTTCTTGAACAGAGCTGTATCCATACATTGCTGTCATCCTAAATGTGTTTTACCAAGGCCAGACACTGCTTTCGTGTTATCTTTTATGACTTCTTGACTATTTTATTATGCCTATGGTAAGTTTCCCTGTAGAGACGTTCATTGTGTCATAGATCAAGCAAATATTACTTTTTTAAGAATATTTAAAAGAAAACCCTGTATATATCTGTTCAGGTAAATATTCTTGGGGCTGGTTTATATATAGGCTGTGAAAGATGTGTAACAGACCTCACTTCTTCCTGTTTGTCACGAAGTATTGGAATAGCGTTCACTTGACAAATCCCACATGGCCCTTCCAAAGATGTTCCCCTTCTTCCCTCTTCAGCCCAAGTTTCTGGTGATGTGTCTTCTAAATTATCCTAATGGTTATATATCATACTTAGAAAATGAAGTACAACTTAGCTTGTCCACACGACTTGTGAACAGTTCCAATGACGGTCAAACCTGACATTAAAGTGCTGCACATTTGTTACTCTGATTTTATTTTTATTATGACACAGGAATTTTATATGTACTCAAAAAAATGTTTCAACTCCTTTTTGCCTTTCCACTCTCGTCAAAAAGAGACTGTTTCCTTGTTTGCAGTTTCTTTCCCACTGCCTTCTTGTTCTCCACTGATTCACAATTCCTAGTTAATAATTAATCACAGTGATTAATTGACATGGATTTCAATTGAATTTATGACCATTTAGTTATCCTGTAACATTCCTGTATCAATTGGGTATTCCGACACTAGAATAATGGAGAAAATAATTCCTGGTTGACCTTAATCCCAAAATCAGATGCATTTTCTATTCGTCGCTGAGGTTTAACAGCAGTATAATGGAAATACTGTTTTGTCTAGTATTTCCCTCAATATTTTCACTTTCTGAATGAGTGAGAGTTTTTACTTAACATCTTTACCTGTGCAGTTCGGTGACTAGTTAGAAACCATCCACTTTTAAACTGGAGAGAAAAACTCATGAGTGCCTTAATTTGGAATCTGTGACAGTAATTAAGAGATTCCTACTGTTTAATACTTTGATTTATTTTTTAATCACTACCAAAAGAAGTCCCCAAATATTTCTGTGGGTGCAGGTGGGGATGCCCATGGGATGGATGGGAGATGGGAATGGGCAGGGCTGCTCCATCACCCCTGTGAAAGGGGATTGGGGGGGGGGGCTATTGAAAAGCACTTTGCTCACCGTGATGGACTTGGGCCGTTTGGCTGTGTTGACCTCCATGGACATGGCTTTGCCCGAGAGGCACATGAGTCCTGATGACCTGTCGACAAGTACTTACTTCCTTGATTAATACCATGATTAGGTCTTAATTACTAGAGTGCCCAGTACTGCATAAAACAGAGGAAAAGGCCAAGATCTCAGTTCTGTAAGGAGATACCAGCTAATTCCCTGTATGACCCTACAGCAGGTCAGCAAAATGAACAGGAAAGCAGGAACTGAAGCTGGGGGAGATGTAAGCTTTGACATGAGTGTGGTAACCTGCTTATTCATCAAAGATCTGGGCATGGCGTGATGCCTGTAT